CCTACGTAATATTTACCAACGCCAAAGTTAGAAATATTTGTAGTTGAATATTCACTGGCGTCAGAGTCAGGAATATTATACACAAACAACCATAGTATAAACCAACAAAAAAAATGTTAGCAATTAAGGACAAAGAGCAGCAATGCAGCCTACCTTAGGTAGGATGTTTAAGGGGTGATAATATCTTCCCTTTTACGTAACCAGTCACGGACCATAGAATCTCTATTGACCAGTTAGGGTTCCTAGTAACCATAATACTAGGTGGCGACTCTTTAAATAAAGACAATTCCCCATTCAAAGAATAGGATGCCAGAAATCCATTCTTTCCATTCCATCAAAATTTTTAAGGCCGCCGCGATGTCGGGTGCGACATCGGTTATTGCCATGCAAAATGTGAATTCAAGTTCTGCAGTCACTGCACTCCCTAATAGCACAGTAACCAACCAATTATAAAAGAATGGGCCAGCTATGGCTTATTTGCATGTTACATAAATAATATTTTTCTGATAGGCCGCTCCGATCCCTTCCCATTAGATACATTATAACAATACAAATCGAGTATTAAAATATTTGATTTTTATAAAAAAATTAATAATAATAATTTTTTTTTGTGTGTATGACCAAGTATCTCAAAAAAAAAAATTGTATTGTGTTTTTTCATACAAAAAAATATTTTAGCATCCATTTAGCTTTAATGACCGGTTTATTAAAGTCAAAAGAGCATTGTCCAAGATTTAAAGAAAACAACAAAAAATTTATTTTTGTTTTGTTTTAGTACCAAGGATTATGAATTTATATGTAAAACATATTCTCTATATCAAAAGGTTTTGTTATATATTTTGCTTAAATTTTTTATCTGACATTAAAACAATGCAGCCTACCTAAGGTAGGATGAATTTGGGGTGTTACTATCTTTCTTTTATGCAACCAGTCTCTGCATCCCATCTCTGAGATTAGTTAAGGTTCTTAGTAACCAGAATACTAGGTAGCGACTCCCAACCTATATTTTGTTGTTAATAGACAAGAATTTCTTATCTCCCTATATTTGCTAGTTAAAATTCCATATTTTTTTTCCAAAAGAGTGGAAGATCATCGCATTGTTGTACACGTGCGACAATACCCAAGAAACTTGGGCTGGAAAGGGACGTCTCACCAAAGTTGCTTGGGTGTGATATGAGCGCAAATTGAAATTAATTGGGTCATGTAATACTGTTTGACTTAAACTCTAGATCTGACCTTAGGACTCAAGGTAAATGAATCTTGCATACAAACCCAAAATTCATTGATCTTGGATTTCCAAATATAATTATTTTTATTATAGTTAAAATTATTGATAAAGTAGTTATTAAATTTGAAAAAAAATTTATTAATATTAAAAATAAAAATATATTTTATCACTATTAGTGTTATTAATATTAAAAGTTATTACACCAAAAAATTATGATCACCATCATCATTAAATTAAAAAAATATTATTACTATAAAAAACCATATTTTTTCAAAAGAAAAATAAAAAAACAAAAAAACTTGGACACAAAAGTTAAATACTATTAATATTAATATTGTAAGTATTAGAAAATATTTTTTTTAAAAATTATAACTATGAATACTATAAAAACTTGGACTAAATAAGTTTACTATAATTATTATCATGATAAATACTATTATTTATATTTTAATATTATTATTTTTATTATAGCTAATATTGCAAATATAGTAATGAATAAGTTTGAAAAAAATATTATTAATATTAAGAAAAAATCATAACTTTATTTTGAATGATGAAATTATAAATAATTATTCTTCTTCTTTTTATTATTATTATCACCAATAAGTTTGAAATAAAATATTATTACTATAAAAAAATAGATATGATTTGAGGGATAAAATTAAAAATTTTTATTATCATCATCATTAATAAATTTTTTAAAATATTATTATTGTTAAAAAAAATCATAAATTTAATTTGAAAAGATTACAAGTTACAGGAATTTGGATCAGACAAGTTTAATATTATTATTAATATTAAAAATATTATTATATTTATTAATATTATGAAATTCAAAATAAATGTTATTACTATAAAGAAACATAAAAATAATTTAAAAGATAAAATTAATTATTATTATTATTATTATTATTATTATTATTATTATTATTTATGTTATTGTTGTTAATATTAACTTGAGTCAGACATTATCTTTCATATCAAAAAAACTTGTCTTAAAAAGAATGTTTTGCTTAAATTTTTTGAATGCAGTATAGAAGCAGATCCAAATCTTTTGGGTTTATAGTCCTGCTTGGAGCAGGCTTAAGGGTTTGGTGTTATGATTCAAGGTTTATAGATATTATGTTTTTAAATATTATTATTTTATTATAATTAATAATAATATTAAAATAATTAATAATTTTTTTAAAAAATTATTATCAATATTAAAAAATGAACATATATTTTATTTGATAGATAAGATTATTATTATTATTATTATTATTATTATTATTATTATTACCAATAAATTAAAAAAATTATTATTACTATAAACAAATAATTTTTTAAAAAAATTAAAAATATAAGAATTTAAACAAATAAATTAAACATTATTATTAATATTTTTAGGTTCGGTGCTCCAACCATCACCATATTCTTAAATTTAATATTTTTTTTAATAGTTTTTATAAATACAAAAGGTTAACTGGCAGTCCTATTAAGTACATATAGATGTGGAATTCGGGATAGGAAGCTAGAGACACAAAAGCATTTAGATCAGGAAGTATCAATGGATGAACCTGACGAGCTCCACATAGCCATGTTCCCATGGCTTGCTTTCGGTCATATCATCCCATTTCTAGAGCTCGCCAAGCTAATAGCTCAAAGGGGTCACAAGATCTCCTTTATATCTACTCCAAGAAACATCCAACGTTTACCATCTATACCTCTAGATTTAACACCCCGAATCAATCTAGCGAGCCTCGCTTTACCCCGTGTAGAAAATCTCCCAAACAACGCAGAGGCCACAGCAGACTTACCTTTCGACAAAATTCCATACCTTAAGTTAGCCTACGACGGACTCCAAGATTCTATATTTCACTTCTTACATTCTTCTTCTCCAGATTGGATCATCTTTGATTTCGCTCCTTACTGGTTACCCGAGATAGCAACCAAGCTTGGGATCTATGGTGTTCTCTTTAGCATTTTTGGTGCATGGACCATATCCTTCGCTGGACCATCATCCTCAGCAATGCTCAACGACGACGATCCAAGGACCGAACCGCAGCACTTCACGGTCCCTCCAAAGTGGGTCACATTTCCATCCAAAGTGGCATTTCGCATCCATGAAGCTAAGCGCTTTTTGGATCAAATAGAACTGAACAGTTCAGGTGTCACTGATATATTTCGTTGGGGATCCGTGCTTGCTGGCTGCGATGTTATAGCAGTGAGGAGCTGCTTAGAGCTAGAGGCTGATTTCTTAAGACTCGTGGAAGACCTTCACTGTAAGCCTGTAATCCCAGTAGGACTACTGCCACCATCTGCTGAGTTTAGCGAAGGCGGGGTGGACGAAAAGTGGGTTGCGATCAGTGAGTGGCTAGACAAGCAAACCCAAGGATCTGTGGTTTACATAGCGTTTGGAAGCGAGTTAACAATGAATCAAAAGGATATAACTGAATTGGCACTGGGGTTAGAGTTATCAGGGCTGCAGGTTCTTTTGGGCTTTGAGGAACCGGGATGACTCGGTCAGGTTACCAGATGGATTTGAGGAACGAGTAAAAGGACGTGGAGTGGTGTGGACGAGCTGGGCACCACAACTACGGATTATGGCTCATGAATCGGTTGGGGGTTTTGTGACTCACTGCGGTTACAGCTCAGTTATAGAGGCATTCTCCTTCGGACTGGCTTTGATCATGTTACCTTTCGCTATAGACCAGGGATTAATCGCAAGGGTTTTCGAAGGGAAGAAGGTTGGGATAGAAGTGCCGAGAGATGAGCAGGACGGGTCGTTTACGAGGAACTCGGTAGCTGAGTCACTCAGGCTGGTTATTGTTGACAAGGAAGGATCCGCGTACAGAGAAAATGCCAAGCAGCAGATGGTAACATTATTTGGAGAGAAGAGTATCAGCGATCGATGCATGGACCACTTTGTTGCCTTCTTACGAAGTCATGGGAAATTGCCAGCAGTGATTGACAATGACCTGCCCACGCACTCGCCACCCTGACACGTGCCAATGCTGCGTGTCATCCGATTCTCGACAAGGTTTTAAGAAAAAAAGCCCGTAGGTTTGGACTCTGGAAAGCCTTTTTACTCTGTGTGTGACTATGGAGTCACTTCCTGAAACTAGAAATTTGTGTACTATATTATACTTTTAAATAAAAAACAACAATCCCCGTATTTCCAAACACCCATTAAATTTAATCAATAATTGTTAATTTTAAAATCTTAAAAACTTAATAAAAATATACATAAACTAATCTGAATACTTGTAATTACTAAGACACCTGTAATTATTATATATATAAAAAAGCTTAGCAGCATCAAATAAGCCTTTTATTCCCTGCAAAGAGCAGAGTCGTTAGGAATTCAGTAACCGTTCATTTTGATAAGAGGAGGGTGGCAGCTGAAGTGTAATATCCAGCAGATCATTTCATGAACCATATCCACGAATTTAAGCATAAAAAAAAATAAAAATTAAATGAGTTAAAAAAAGGCATAATCTATAATTCAAATATTCAATCAAACTATGGTCTTATAAGCATGTTGTCAGCGAGCCAGCACCAGCGAAGATCAAGACCGAGCTCAAGTTAGATTTAAAAGTTATTTGATTTTTTTTCCTTGGTTATTTGAATTTTTTTTATTTAGTTTATGCATTGTAATGGTAGTTAAATTCTATTGCTTATGAAGCTTTTTAATAAGGGTTTTATATATATATATATAACTGATATAAAATTAAGTGTTTACTTTATTTTTCTGAACTGACTGAGAAGTTCAAATCTATTGAGGTTGAGAATTTATTAAATTTTTATTTTTAATAATTTATGACCATATAATTTTAAGATTCAATAAATTTTATTTCCTTTTCTCCATGTCCGTCTCTAATTGTGAGCCAAAGCTGTCGAAAATCATCCACTTTGGATAATAAATACAGTATGCCACACATTAAGCCCTTAACTCAAAAAACATCGGTACAAGATTATAACAGACCCATGTAGAGAAATGCAAAAAATAAAAATAAAGCAGAGATTAATTCTCTAAAAAATATATAAAATTGAGTTTTACTTAAAAAAAGAAAAAAAATCAAAATCAATTTATATTAACCATTAAAACTTGTGGTTTTAATTAGGAATCGAACATATAAAAGGTAGAAAAAAATGCTTAGAAATAAAATTAAAAATTATTTATAAAAATGAAACAAAATTAAAGTAAACCTGGGATTAGGTTAACCCAACGACAAGGAAAATGATAAAAAATGCATAAAAACTAATATAATAAAATTTTAAAAATAAAATTTTAAATAAATAAAATTATACATGGATCTAGAAAATAAATGTTAATTTGTATTAATTTTTAAAATCTATAATTTGACCATAAGCTCGCAGCTAATCTCATAAAAGTGAAAAAAAAAGAAAAAAATTATTAACAAAAAAAATATCAAGGAAATAAATAGAAACAAAAATATAATAAAAAAGCATTTTGAGTAAAACAATATAATAATAAAAAAAATAGAGATTAATTTTGATGTAAAAATAAATTTAAATTAAATATTTAAAAAAATTAAAAATAAAATTTAATTAGTTAAAGAATAAAAAAATTAAATAATTAAATAATATGAAAACCAAATTAAAATAAGGAGAGAGATGTCCATATTAAAGAAAAAAAACAAAACATGTAATAAAAAAAACTTTTGATTAAAAGGACATCAAAGTCATTTCATGTTGCATAATGCGAAAAGACATATACATCCCATCAAGGTGTTAATGCCCGATAGACCCTTATAAAAAGACCAAAATAGTCCTATTAGATAGGTATAGGTATTTGTTTTCCGTTTAGAAAGACAAAATGGAGAAAAACACCATCAAACGGCCACAGTGTTCTTCCTTTTCATAATATATATTTGGAATGTTCGTGTGTTTATTTTCACGGTTAAAAAATATTTTTAAAATTTTTATTTTTATTTTTAAAATTATTTTACTGTTAAAAATTATTTTTAAAAAATAATAAAAAATTATATAAAAAACTTCAAAAAACAACTATTAATACAATTTCAAACAGTACGAGGCAACTTCCCCACCAAATACTCGTTGTTATACACAGACAGCAAACAATATACAGAATTCACTTACGACTCTGTACTAGAGACAGCATCCTTCAATACCACCAGATCTGGAAGAATTTTTCATTCGCAGCCAAAACCTACCAATACTAATATAACTCGTAGTCAATAGCATCTTGCAACGACGATCCCTTCGTATCTTGCGATCCTTCCCTGCCAAGAAAAGGGGCAGTGATATATATATATGTATGTATGTATGTATGTCTGTATGCACCAATCCATAATGATCATCGGCAATGCCTTGCACCGACCCATCTGGTTGCATAACTTACCGTTGTTGTAAGTAAGTTACGTTTCATCTAAAATATACATGAAATATATTTATTTATTTCTGTTTTTTTTGGGAATGAAAAGAATTGGCTTGATTATCTACACTGCAGATGAATGAACCTCTTGTTTTCTGCAGAAGAGAAAAGGGGGCATTTTGAATTCGGCACCCCTTAGTTTTGGGCTTATGGCGGTCCCATGTCCAGACCATCCTTGGGCCTTTTGTTTTTGGGCTACACGATGGGAAGTTGAGCGCTTATGCTGAAATCTTGTGCCCTTGTCTTCAGGGCTTCATGCCGGCTATCCCTATAGCTACGAATCAGGAACTTTAATTATCGCGCCTATACTTTAATTTGTTTTTTTTAAGTTATAAGACAGATTGTGAGATTTGTTTAGAAAAATAAAATTATCTTTAAATAAAATGTTAAACATTAAGTTCATCTGATTTAGTAATAAATAGACAAATTTAATAGTATGGCTCATTTTTCAATAATTTATAATGATTTAGATTTGTTCTCGTATCAATATTATAACTAGTTGTTTTGAATGTGTAATTATGGTTATTTTTTAAAGTATTTTTATTTAAAAATATATTAATTTTTTTAAAAAAATTATTTTTAATATTAAAGCATAAAAATAATATAAAAACATAATAAAATATTAATTTTAAGCAAAAAATAAAAAAATATTTTTAAAATTAAAAAACAAATCAGTTTTTCTTAAATTTGATAATTTGGAAGAGTTTTCTTTCCTTTCCATATCATAATAGAATGTGGTGGTTGTAGTCGTCGTCATCATCATCATGATGCCAGGATTGTATTATATCATATATTAATGAAATTATTGATTTTCATATAAAAAAATATTACAACAATAATTCAATTTTCAAAAAAAAAAAAAAAACTCACATTCGCTAGCTAGCTATATATATACATGGAATAAATGATAAGAAACCCAAGCCACAAAAGCATTTAGATCAGGAAGTATCAATGGATGAACTTGACGAGCTCCACATAGCCATGTTCCCATGGCTTGCTTTCGGTCATCTAATCCCATTTCTAGAGCTCGCCAAGTTAATTGCTCAAAGGGGTCACAAGATCTCCTTTATATCTACTCCAACAAACATCCACAATATACCTGCAAATTTAAAACCGCGAATCAATTTAGTAAGCCTCGCTTTACCCCATGTAGAAAATCTCCCAAACAACGCAGAGGCCACAACAGACTTACCTTTCGACAAAATTCCATACCTTAAGTTAGCCTATGACGGACTCCAAGATTCTTTATTTCACTTCTTACATTCTTCTTCTCCAGATTGGATCATCTTTGATTTCGCTCCTTACTGGTTACCTGAGATTGCAACCAAGCTTGGGATCTCTAGTGTTTTCTTTAGCATTGTAGGTGCATGGACCTTATCCTTCTTTGGATCATCATATTCAGCCATTCTCAACGGCGACGATCCAAGGACCGAACCGCAACACTTCACGGTCCCTCCAAAGTGGGTCACATTTCCCTCCAAAGTGGCATTTCGCATCCATGAAGCTAAGCGGTTTTTGGATCAAATAGAAGTGAACAGTTCAGGTGTCACTGATATATTTCGTTGGGGATCCGTGCTTGCTGGCTGCGATGTTATAGCAGTGAGGAGCTGCTTAGAGCTAGAGGCTGATTTCTTAAGACTCGTGGAAGACCTTCACTGTAAGCCTGTAATCCCAGTAGGACTACTGCCACCATCTGCTGAGTTTAGCGAAGGCGGGGTGGACGAAAAGTGGGTTGCGATCAGTGAGTGGCTAGACAAGCAAACCCAAGGATCTGTGGTTTACATAGCGTTTGGAAGCGAGTTAACAATGAATCAAAAGGATATAACTGAATTGGCACTGGGGTTAGAGTTATCAGGGCTGCAGGTTCTTTTGGGCTTTGAGGAAGAAAATTGCCTCCTTAGGTGTCATCTGGTTCTTAAGAAGCCTGTAGGTTTGGACTCTGGGGTGCCTTTTTTTTTTTCCCCTTCTCTTTGCGCAGTGTAGAGAGTATAGACTAAAATTGGTTTCGAGAAATCTATGTACTATATTATATCTAAATAAATACTTTATTAATTATTAAGAAAGAAGTGGAACTTCCTAAAACTCAAAAGCAATGTAAAATTAAAAGCCAAGATTGTTGGCAGGCATAGCTGGCTAGCAATCAGGGGGGAGCATTGCATTGAAGTCCAGTCAATAATTGTCTGGGCAAAGATATCTTCCGAAGAGAGGGGCCATAGCTCGCAGGAAGGACTTCTCTATTGCGCGTCTAAGATTCCGTTTTGGTCCTTAATATTTTACTTTCTTCTGAGAAAAAGAATTGCACGTCAATCTCATATCCAATCTCCAGAAAATCTATACTGATTAAGATTCATATTTACATTTTGAGTCATTTTGACTCGGAAAGATCCACAGACAGTGGAAAATTTCCGTGCTGTTTATTACTCAACTTTCTCTCAAAGATAAATAGTTAGGTTCACAGAAAGGTTTTGGTCATTTTTCACCAATTAGTCAATGAAAAAAAATATGCACCGTGGTCTGCAGCCTAAACACGTGTTCTGCAATGAATTGCGCAGATCCATTCTGGGTGCATTCATCGCTGTTGGGTGGTTGCGTATAGTGACACAGCATGCCAGACATTAAGCCTTTGTTTTGTGGGGGCAACACAGCCCTCATGCCAGAATTTAATAGCAGTTCAAATTATACCAGCTAGTCCAAAATTTTACATCCATGAAAATAATTATTAGCAGTTAATTAATGATACCAGTAAACGATGTGCAAAGGGCTAAGAAATGTCTTGACCTACGGAGAACATCTAAAAAGTTGATGCATGGTTTGCCATGCAACAAGTCTGTTGGGATATTAGTTCAAATCTCAATACAAGTAATAATTCTTGATTAAAAAAAATTGCGTTTAGAATTAAGCTTGTAATTTTTATAAAATTATAAAAGCTAAGTATTAATAATTCTAAGTACACGTGTTGAATATAAAGAAAGAAGGACTTATGCATTTGTGTTGCTACTGCTGGAACGTGCTGTTGCTGCTACTGGAACGGGTGTTTTTCTGTAGCTGCTACTGGAACGTGTGTTTTGTTGATGCTGCAGAAGCAACAAAAACAAATCGACAGCCATTAAAGTCTCCTTTCAAGACGAGAAATCAGCCTCCAATGGCAACAACAAAAAAACAAGTCCTTCATTCTTTGTACTTACATACTGCTCAAGCAAATTTTCCCCTTGGAACTTAGCTTAGCAAATGAATGTCAAAGATCTTACAAGATGTTGCGTGAGAGTGTTTCCGGGGGCAGATAAAGACTGGCCAGCGCAAAAATTAGTTTATTGTCTGTCCGCGTGCAAAAATCCACCCTAATTTGTCTAGAGAAATCATAGCTAGAGAAATAAAGGTCTTTAAGCAAGCCAAACTACAATTATTATTATTATTATTATTTAAGATAGGCGTATATCTTAATTATTATAAAAAGGGGACTCTGAAGCGCAAGAGTACAAAGTTGAAACGAAAGGTTGCCATCAAGAACAGCTGGGCTGTCGTGAGCATCAATAATTATAATTTTTCATGTTAAAAATATATATTAATGATATTTTTTTATATTTTAAAAATTATTTTTAATGTTAACGTATTAAAATAATTTAAAAATGCTAAAAATTTATTAATTTAAAATTAATAAAAAATAAAAACTTTTAATTGTTTAAAATATTTTTTTAAAAAAGAAAAACATGCCCCACATCAATAATTAATCGACGGAGCTTCGGTATTTTCCAGGAGGGGAGCGATTATAACCTTATTGGAATTAGGAACTTATCTCTACGGTAATGGAGAAAGGAGCATCATCCCATGAGGGGTGGGGGGTCCCGTTCATGTGTCTTTCTATCCTTTTCTATAAACCACTCATCGATATTTCTAGAAAAATATTAATTCTTTTTACAACCACTCATTGATGTTGCTAGAAAAATATTAATTCTTTTTACAAGTAATAATAATAAATAGATATATGAACATCAATCCTACGCATAGCAAGCAGCTGCGAATATTTGCTTTAATTGAAAGTCGCCCTCTAATCGGGGACAATTCAACGCAAAAAGATCCACCTATATATCAAATGGATCACATCTTGTTTCTCTTGCTATTTATTATATTATCACATAACTTTAATTTCTCTACAAGACAACATGGAAGCAGTGGCTATTAACTCTTCAAAATTTATTTAATTAATATGATTTAAATAAATTATGAATGAATGGATAATAAATAATTAATTTAATCTTTTTTAGATTTAATTATTGATTTATGATGAATAATTAATTATTATTAATAATAAAAATTAATTATTATTAATTATTCAATCTTTTAGCTTTCAAAATTCACTAAAAACATGGATGAAAAAATAATTTCTAACTTGAAATTTTAGATTTTTTTATAATATTTATGTGTTTTTATTTTTTTTATGTTTTGATTTTTTCTCTCATGGTTAGAGTTTAGGTTTATATTTTGACTGTGTTTCTCTCATCTCATGGTTAGAGTTGAGGTTTATATTTTGACTGTGTTTCTCTCATGTTTAGAGTTTAGGTTTATATTTTAACTGTGTTTATTTATGTGGTAATGATTACGTTTTAAAGAAACCATAATTTTATGATGTTTGGTTAAAGTAAGAAAGCAATGTTTTTAATTCATGGGACCTACCGAAAATCGCACAAAAATACAGGTAAGGGAGAAGCATGTTATACCTACTTTGCCGATACCGTTCACTTTTGTTAAGTGAACAATGTAGAGGAAAATCGCACAAAAATACAGGTTAGGGAGAAGCATGTTATACCTACTTTGTCGATACCGTTCACTTTTGTTAAGTGAACAGTGTAGAATGAATTAATTTACACATTTGTTTATAAACATGTTGGCAGTGCAGTGATTTTTATTTGCACTATTCACGTAAACAATAAAATATCTAATTTTTTAAAAAATATATTTTATTAAAAAATTTAATATTTAACATTATTCAATGACACTGTATCAATTAAAAAGAGATCCCATGATGGCATAGTTTTTGTAGAATTTAATCGTAATTTCAATTTTGTTTCTAATGATATTTTACCTGATTTTGTTGTACATCCAAGAAATCATGGAAACTATAGTCTTTATCGGATGAATTTTGTACATTATGAAATTATAGATAATTTAATAAAACAATAATTTTTTTATATAAAGTATTATTTATTTTATGATATGATAGCAGTAGTTAAATCTACAATATTTAAATTAAAAAATATCAATATTAATGCATATCACCAAACACATTAAATTATTTTTTGTTCAACTTCAATTTCAACCACATTTTTAACTAAACATATATAAATATCAAATCAACCTCAACTAAAAATAATTTTTATAAAATATTTTTTTAAACCACAATCACAAAAGCTATCACAAAATCTCAATTTTTTTTTATTAAGAGATATTTGAGTTATATAGTCTCTAATTCAAATACATTAATTTGAAAATATATCCAAACCAGTGTGGTATTGAAAGATATATTGCAGACATTCTAATTGCACAATAAAAAATAATAAAATTTTAAAAACAAATAATTATGATCAATAACAAAAAATACATTACTTTAAAGTATTTTAGCATATTTTTATTTATTTTAATTTAAGCATAATTGATTCTATTGTTAGTACACATGTTGGGACATTGATGTTGTATCAATTATAAGCTCGAATATATGTTTAGTTTACATGTTAATATTTTATTATTATATTTGTATCGAAAGCATGTTTATATATTTAAATTTACATGAATAGTAAAATAAATATTATTATTTTTAGTATATCATGTTATAATAAATTAAATATTATTATTTACTATTTTAATATATTTATAAACTTTTGAATTACATGAACCACCACATCGATGATCCAATGGATTGTAACACTGTATTTAAATTTATTTTAACGTTACCAAAGTTATTGACAAAACCTTAGCGAAAGATTATGCTAAAGTGTGTTTTACTCCTATCAAAATATTTAAAAGATCTAGTGGAATATATTTATCAAATGACAGTATGTGTTTAGTTAATATTTTAATTTTTTTATTTAAAATATTAAAATTACAAATATTTTTTTAAAATATTTCTTAAGTTTATTTGAATTGATTCAGATCCATCCGTGCAATCTGAGAAGTCATCGATTTTCATATAAAAAAATTACAATAACAATTCAATTTCCAAATGAAAATTAAACTCTCATTCGCTAGCTATATATACAAACACATACACACACATGGAATACAGGCTAAGAAGCTAAAGACACGAGCATTTAATTAGATCAGGCAGTATCAATGAATGAACCTGACGAGCTCCACATAGCCATGTTCCCATGGCTTGCTTTCGGTCATATCATCCCATTTCTAGAGCTCGC